TGTTAAAAACTTTTGTGAAAACAAAAAATTACGGAAAATAAAAAGTAAAATTTTCTAAAAAATAAATTCTGAAAACTGAAAACAAATAGAGTGATTAGTATTATGGTCGAAATTGTTATTGGTTACAAATTATTAGGGTATTTTATTATAAGTAAATTATTAAATTAAATTTGTTTACAATTCACACGGATGTTCAGGTATATTTTAAACAAGGGCAAATTATACCCGTGATTTTTATATTTTGTCTCTTGTACCATTTTGGTTTCTACATTATCAATTGACACAATTTTGACTCTTAATTTTAAATTTTGTATCAATTTGATCCAATTGATAATGTTGTTAGTGTTTTTGACTGAATTAGTTAAGGTTAACTCATTGAGATTAGTAAGTTTATAATTTTTCTCTAAAAGATATAACACATGCCACTTATATCCATTTTTTTCATTAAAAAAAATGTTAAGAGTTGCAATCAATTAGACCAAATTGGAAAAAAAATCATAAATTTAAGGTCAAAATCGATTCAATTAAAATTATAAGGACAAAAATGACACAAACACCAAAGCACATAAACTACTGTCGCAATTTATCCTTTAAACAATAATGTTACACTTACCACTGTGTTTACCCATTATTAGTGTAATGGATCCCACTACTCATATTTATGTCAAATGATACGCTATCACATAAGGTTGGATATTGAAAGTGATATAAAGAAGTGATAAATATAGCCTTCCTCTATTTGTATGAAAGCAATTAAAATTTTATTTTTTCAGTTAATTCTATTAAATAAAAAATTCTGACAAACAAGTATTTATAATTTTTCAAATCATAAAAAGCAATTCGTATTTTGAACAAATTTCAAAAGGTGTATTTATAATTTATCTTACTTTTTTTTTATGAACATGACAATATATTAACCAAATATCAATAATGAAGGGGTCACAATTACTCAAGCCTATTTGTATGGAATCTCGTGGGATTGGACGAAGGTCCCTACTCCGTACTCAAGCCTATTTGTATGGAACCTCGTGGTATTGGACAAAGGTCCCTACTCCATACTCAAGCCTATTTGTATGGAACCTCGTGGGATTGGACGAAGGTTCCTACTCCGTACTCAAACCTATTTGTATGAAGCCTCATTGGACTAGGCGAAGGTTCTTACTCCGAAGTGGGCTCTCTCTCTCCACTCTATAATGGACCGAGCTAAGGGATCAGTCTTGGCCCACTCTCCACTCCGAAGAGGGGAAGACCATGAGCCTGGCCCTAGCACCACTTCCCACTCCGAAGAAGGGAAGACCATGGGCCTAGCCCTAGTACCACTCTCCACTCCGAAGTGGGTAAGTCCATAACATAGGCTCCAAGGCTCCCACTCAACGACACATGAGTGCTAACAGATCAATCAATATCATGTAAAGTAAAAGGCACGTGGTGTCCACAAATGACGGAACTTGCTCCTCTCTATTAAGGGATGTGCTACCATCACGACTGAGGACTAAGCGTAGAATGAGGGAGCTTGATAAATAAGTCATACGATCCTTATAAAAGGTAACCTTACTCTTCTTGAAAGGGGCGATCTCTGAACTCTAGAAACACACTGGTCTTATCTATCTTGTCTCTACCAAACTCTGATATTGACTCGACCATCGGAGGGGTTTCCACCAACCCCCGGTCGAGCAACCTAACTATTTGTTTCTTATGCAGGCCTTCACCCATCAATGCACCAGGTTTCGTCCACGAAATTCCATCTTACTCTATTGCGGAAACTGGTCCGCACAAATAACACTTACTTTTTGAGTATATTTCTTAATCAAAATTCTACATTCGTAGAGTTTTATTATTGCGAAATATCCCCTTCAAGCCTCACTATAGTAACTAGGAATGAGCAAGACAAAGACCATGACGACCCAACTTGAATATTACTTACATGTAGGTCTAATAAGTAGATTTATTGTCTAATAGGTCTTATGAAAAAAAATTGTCATAAAAAAATGTCACTAAAATTATAAGTTTTAGCGATAATTTATAAAAATCATAACAAAAAAAAGTCATTACTTGTTAATTTTTAGCGATATATAAAAATTTGTCATAAAAAAATTATTTTTAATAATAATTTTATCAAGACTTATTTTCAATAGGACTTAATAAAATTAAGTCCAATTATTACAACCTATTGATAATTTAATCATATTAAAAACGACAATTCCTAATAAATTTGTTTGGTGATGGTTACTTTAACCACTAGGTTTCTACTACTTTTGGATTATGATCTTTTAACTTTAAGTTCAAAATATCCAATTTCTGGTATGGAGCAACTTTTTTGTGTCCTTACGTTTTTTTTTTTTTTTTTTTTTTTTCTTTTAGGTATAATATTTCCCTTACCTTTTGTCATTTAGATTTCCCTTACCTTATAAGTCATTTAAGGTAAAAAATTAGCTTATGTCATTTAGATTTCCCTTACCTTTTGCTTTTCTTGGTATAATAATGCAAAATTATTCAATATGTTTGGTTTAAGTTTCTGAATTTACTTTTTTTTTAAATTAAATTTTTTGTTTTTTTGTTTTTTTTTATTTTATTTTTAGTGAATATTTTAAAATTTTAAACATTTTTTATATTTGTTTAAATATACCTTACTTAGATGTAGATGTATCTAAATAATAAATTATTTGTGAAAAAATATTTTAAAAATTAATAAATACACAAAAATAGGAAAAATATATTGAATTTTTATAATTTTTTTATATATGTTTGGTATTTAATAATTTTTTTTTAAAAAAATTAACAAATATTATACTTTATAAGTGTATTTATGTTAGGTGTGTTTAAAAATTTAAAAAAAAAATTGCTTAAAATGTTAAAAAAATCAGTGAAAACGAAAAAATACGAAAAACAAAAAAGTAAAATTTTCTGAAAAATAAATTCTGAAAACTGAAAACAAACATAGTGATTAATATTATGGTCGAAATTGTTATTGGTTACAAATTATTAGGGTATTTTATTTTAAGTAAATTATTAAATTAAATTTGCTTACAATTCACACGGATGTTCAGGTATATTTTAAAAGAGGGCAAATTATACCCGTGATTTTTATATTTTGTCTCTTGTGTCATTTTGGTTTCTACACTTTCAATTGACACAATTTTGATTTTTAATTTTAAATTTTGTGTCAATTTAATCCAATTGATAATGTTTTTAGTATTTTTGACTGACTTAGGCCTCGTTTGAGAAGCGAACGGTTTAGCCAAAAAGTCAAAAATTACTAAAAAAATTAAAAAGCCAATAACTCGTACCAAAAAGTCAAAATATTTCATTTTCTCTCTATTTTTTGCATATCTTTTCGTAAAAAGTCAAAAAGTCATCCCAAACATATTTAGTTTTTTTTACATCACATTTTAACCAAAAAGTCAAAAAATTATTAAAAAATCTTGTCCCAAACGAGGTCTTAATTGAGGTTAACTCACTGAGATTAGTAAGTTTATAATTTTACTCTAAAAGATATTACACATGCCAACTTATATCCCTTTTTTCAAAAAAAAAAAAAATTATGAATTGCAATCAATTAGACCAAATTGAAACAAAATCATAAATTTAGAGTCAAAATCGAACTAATTAAAATTATAGGGATAAAAATGACATAAACACCAAAATACATGAACTACTGTCACAATTTGTCCTTTAAACAATAATGCTACACTTACCACCTTATGGCCATGTTTGTTTGGCGGATTAGATTGGATGGGATTATTAGTGAAAAGATTGTTAATATGAGGATTGTTAGTGAAGAGATTAAGTAAAAATGTGTTTGTTTCGATAATAGTGTAAGAGATAATTAGTGATGGAATTGTCAAATTATTTTTATATAAAATAAATAAATAAATTATTTTGATATTAAAAAAATAAAATAAATATTAAAACAAACAGGTACACTTAATAAATAAAATAAAATTTTTATATAAAATAGACTTAATCTCCTCACTATTAATCTAATCTCACCTAAAATTCATCCAAACCAATCCCTTTAGGGAGGGGGATTACTAACCCCTCCGCACGAATCCGGATCCTCGGCTGCCCTACTCGGCAGCCCTGCCCGGCAGCCCTCCAAAGCCACGTCGTTTTGGGGGTTTTTTGTTTTTTGTTTTTTTCTTTTCTTCTTCTTCGCTCTCTTCCTCTGCGTTTTTTTTTTTTTGGAAATTTGCCCCCAAAACGACGTCGTTTTGGGGGCTGCTGGAAACGACTGCCAGGTAGGGCGGCCGAGAATCCGGACTCCCCTCCGCACTAGCAATCTCCCCTTTCAAATTAATACCAAACAAACTGTGAGTGGGACCCACAGCTATCTTAATCAAGTCCAACCTCCGACCCCACCAAACAAACTTTGTGTTTACTCATTATTGGTGTAATGAGTGCCACTACTTATGTTTATGTCAAATAATAAGCTATCACATGAGGTTGTATATGGAAAGTGGTGTTTGGAAATTTGGGTTTGGGATTTTTATTTTTATTTTTTTCACTAAAAGATAAATTTTTTACAAAATCAAAAAAAAACACATCCAAACAAAATATCACATCTAACCCCATAATCATTTCACTTTTTCTCTCACAAACATCACATCCAACCACAAAAAAAAATCAACTATCTTTCCAAACACCAAAAATTTTTTATCCAATAATATCTTACAATTAAAAAAACTCACATAAAAACCTACTTCTCAACACCCACAAAGAGGGGATAAATGTAGCATGACTCTATTTTAAAATAGTGTTTGTTATAATCTATTACAACGCCATTTGTAACAACAATGACAGAGACCATTAATTTTGAAACTCTAAAAAGATCACTAATAATATGACACTCAATAAAAAAAGAAAAAAAAATATAACACCAATGCCAAAACATCAAATCATTCATAGTGAGACCCACTGCCACATCATTAATAGTATCACTAATTAGTGCACTCACTCATTTTTCCATTTGTAAAAACCAAAATGGTTTTTTCTGATGCACCAAACAAGTATTCATTACTGCTCAAGGTTCGGGTTTTATACGTAAAGGATGAAGTATTAATTGAAATTTATTGGTTTACATTAAGAAAGGCAGTGAATTTGAGCGAGGAGCACAATTCAACACCATGTTCAAAAGGCCTAATTTGGAACTTGAAGTTTCTCTGGAAATTACAAGCGTACACCAAGAAGCTTCTAATAATGATCAAGTCAACGAGCTAAACTGCAGATTTAATGGTAACAGCATTGTGAAATGTCCTGAACAAAAGCATCAATGTTAGTTTCAACTGACCCGCCCTTTGAAGTTGCATTTTTACAGATCTCCTGAAGCTCTTTTGCTCTCCTCCTCATTTCCTTTCCCTCAACGCTTTCTAGATCCATAAACCTCTGAATGAGTTCAGCAATTTCTTCTCTTGTCACCAAATGTTCATCAGCACCCATTCCTCTCCTCACCTTCCACCCGATCTTCCAATCTTCCACAATTGTCTTGGAGTTTGGAATTTGATCCCAAAATATCGGGTAAGTCAGGAATGGAAGGCCAGCAAATACACCTTCCTTGGTGGAGTTCCAACCACAATGAGACCAAAACCCTCCTACAGAAGAATGGCACAACACCTTCAACTGGTCACACCAAGGCACCAGCAGCCCTTTGTCACCACATCCCTCTTTAATTCGAGAAATTTCACCACGTGCCACCCACAAGAACCTCACACCGCTGTCACGCAGCCCATAAATAATTTCATCCATTTGGGCTTTTGAAACAGAGAGAAAGCTACCTTGTGAGATGTACAAGACCGAAGCTTTGGGTTGCGAATCTAGCCATTGTACATAGTTGATGTCGTTGTATCCAGTAGTAGTTAGGGAGAAACTTTCTTCGAGTCTATAGTAAGGTATTGTTGGACCGATGGAGTATATGGGGATGCCAAGATTTGCCTTAAGAGTGTCAATGATATGGGATTCAAGCTCGTAGATGGAAGTGAATAAAAGATATTGTGCTTTTGGCACCAATGAAATGGCTTCCAAGGCTCGATGCAAAACTTTAAGGGCATCACCGTAAAAGACTGCTGGAAGATCTGCCATTCGTGTCGATGGAATTCCGGGAATGTAGTTTATCAACTCCTTTCCTCGTTCTAACACACATGCACACAAAAGTAGACAAAATACAAACAAGTTTATGTCATATATTACTCGAAATCTTGAACTATCAAAAGGATAAACTTATAGAACATTTATATTCTCCACTCCAAGTCTTGAACAATGTTTTCATACTATTAAATGATCTACAAATTGACATTGATCATGTTTAATAGTGGGTGGTAGTTGTAGAATTTTTCATATTTTTTAATTGAAAATGATTTAAGATCTTTCACAATTATGAATATCTTTATCTTTACATATTAATACCAAATCAAAATACAACAATGCTTGTAATTCAAATTTTCATTATCCGAACAACTGAAATGTCTCGAAACGACGTCTTTCTAGGAGTAAAACAACGTGATTTTGATACATTTAAGTGATTCGGACCACACAAATTCGAAGTGAATAAAAGATATTGTGCTTTTGGCACCAATGAAATGGCTTCCAAGGCTCGATGCAAAACTTTAAGGGCATCACCGTAAAAGACTGCTGGAAGATCTGCCATTCGTGTCGATGGAATTCCGGGAATGTAGTTTATCAACTCCTTTCCTCGTTCTAACACACATGCACACAAAAGTAGACAAAATACAAACAAGTTTATGTCATATATTACTCGAAATCTTGAACTATCAAAGGATAAACTTATAGAACATTTATATTCTCCACTCCAAGTCTTGAACAATGTTTTCATACTATTAAATGATCTACAAATTGACATTGATCATGTTTAATAGTGGGTGGTAGTTGTAGAATTTTTCATATTTTTTAATTGAAAATAATTTAAGATCTTTTACAATTATGAATATCTTTATCTTGACATACTAATACCAAATCAAAATACAACAATGCTTGTAATTCGAATTTTCATGAACCGAACAACTTAAATGTCTCAAAACGATGTCGTTCTAGGAGTAAAATGATGTGATTTTGATACATTTAAGTCATTCAGACTACACAAATTCGAACTACCAAACATTTTTCTTCGTAATAAACGATCCTCCCTTTTTTGGATTTGAAGAAAGGGACAATAAAATATCTCAATACGGTGATTCTTAATTTTAAACTATATCCGCTCCTTTAATAATTAAAATGATATATTTTTTAAAAAATCAAATGTATACCAATACATAATATTATTTATTCACACTAAACAAATTCATTCGTCATTGTCCTTGGACAAGAATCTTCCCGCCCCAAAAATTAAAACTATATTATGCCCTAAATTCTTAATTACTCCACTCTTGTGGTGGAAATTTCAAAATATATACTAAGATATAATGCCGTGAGTGTATTAATGAGAGATGAGACTAGTGGTTTGGTGGCCAATACTACTACACATTATTTTTAAAACATATTTAATTTATTACTATGTGATTACTCTGTGATATATTTTGAGATATTAATAATAAAATTTATTTCCGTGACTCATATAAGCATTAATATAATAGTAGATCTTAGGTAAATTTTATTAATATTGTGAGTAACAAATCAAAGTGATCGACAAGAGTCCATTAAGTCTAAAGAAAATTTTCATTAATTTTATGTTAAACAAAAGGTCTAATGGGTAAATTTCATCAAGAATTTTGCTAGTAATTAATTGTCTTAAGACACACAAAATACAAAAACAAAAATATATATATATAATAGACAAAACAATATAAGTCATCTTTAACTAATTTTAAAACATTTTTTATTTAATTAAAAAATTATAATTTTCAAAATATTATATAATCTTATAATTTTCAAAACAAATTTCCAAACACACTTGTTAGCAATTTTCCATTCACCAATATTCAAATCGGTTAAATGTGACAAAAATTAATTAAAAAAACTTTTAAAAAAATAACAAATACCAAAAACAAAAAATTACATATTCACAAAAAAAAATTTAATTATAATTATTAATATTATAAAAAAATTTCATTAATCTGTAATTATTTTTTCAAACTCCCACTAATTTGATAGATCCCTAATGAAATTACCTGAAACGTCGGCCGGGAAATGGCCGTTTTGAGCGAGCAGATCGAAGTGATAGAACACCGTGAACACCGACGTCGTCATCGTAAAGAGCGAAGCCACCGGAATATTCCTCCGATTCCCGACTCCGACCACCCAACACAGGTAAGTGTCATAAATAATAACGCTCGGTTTCGGCGGCTCAAGCCGATCCAGAAGCCGCTCGAAGGGGCCTTCCAGCTTGGTCAGAGTAGCTTCTAAGAACCCAGGGAAGTCGGCTCCGCGACCTATCTCAGAGGGGACGACGTTGGGGATGGTGGCGAAGTGGATGTTATCCAGCTTGGGCTCGGAGCCGAGGAGGCCGAGCCACTCCTCCGTGACGACGAAGCTGATGAGAATATCGGACTGTCGAGAAGCTATGAGGTTGCTGAGATTTAGCATTGGGTTGATGTGTCCCCTCCCTGGATAAGGCATCGCCACCACGCGGATGGCATCGCCGCCGTGTGCTGCCTCCATTTTGGGCAATTCTAGCCAGAAGATACTTTGCCAGGAATATGTGAACGAAGCACATCGGTAAGCTTATTTTATAGAAAAAAATTAGTAAAATATTCCTCTTTCAATATTTTCACTGAAAAAATTTAATTCAGCCTGATTTAGAAAAATTTCGGCGTCAACTTAAAAATTAAAATTTTTATGTGAAAATTAAAAAATTTTAAATCGGGTAAAAATTTTTTGAGTCAAACAAAATTTTTTTGAATCAAATTTTTTTTATAAAAATATTAAAGGATCTTAACTATTATAAAAATATTATATATCATATATCTTATAAAATTTTAATTTTGTAGATGTTAAAAAAAAATTTCCTACTATATATATATGTTTGGAAAATAATTTTTTAATTAAAATATGAGATTAAAAAAATATTAATTTCTTTTATAATTTAATTATTTTATTTTTTAATTAAAATAACTTAATCCTAAACTTGCCATTAAAGTCCCGTTTAAAATGGGACTTAATCACATTATTCTTTTTATTTTTTATTTTTATATATTTTTTAACTTTTCTACAAATTTGTTCTTAAAAAGTTATAAAGCTAACTATAGCTCCTCTAATTTTTATTTGCAAGAAGACACATGTTTTTTTGGGTTCATAATAAATGATGTGGCCCAGCCAAAAAACACAAGGAAAATGTCCCCGACCCCGGGTGCTGGGGGGTCGTGCGTGTAGGGTCCTGATTGGGCGAATTTTTTTTTTTTAGTCAATAAGATTACGCCACGTCACTGGAGTATGTAGGATTGTTCAAAACACAAATAAATAAATGTCATGTGAAGAAATAAAGAGTTGTTTTTCTAATTTGGCAACAACTTTTTTCCGGTTGAGCTTCTCAACTAAAGCACGCTGTTGAGCTTGTGTGGGCTATTTCGAAATTTAGGAATTATTTAGGATGACTTAAATAAGTGTATTTTTTATTTTTTTATAAAAAGATGTGTAAAAAAGTAGAGAGGTGATGTGATGAAAAAAAGAGAAAAAGATAAAAAGATGGATTATTTAAAGTATGCCAAACTTGGCCTTACATTAATGATTTGAATTATTTAATATGCCGAGTTCGTCAAAAAATTTTATCTTTATAAAAATTATATTGATCAAATATTAATAATTATTTGATCAGATCATACTTGTTTCAATAATTTATATTTTAAATCATAATTACTGTTGACATAAATTTTATCGAATCATATGGCTATCGATACCTGTTTAACGTAATTTTTTACAATAATAAAATACTTAACGAATTCTATACATGTTTAGATTATTAATATAGACTCATGGTGAGTTTACAAAACCCAACAACATATTTTAATTCGATTTTAAATTAAAAATAATAATTCAAATCATTTGATTTATTGCACGCTTTTCCCAAAATGAGAACTAGGCCTTCCATCTCTTTCTAGATGGTCTGACAAAGTAACCAGCCTTGCCCATGGTCTAGATTCGGGTCTTCATAATATCTTGTTGAGATTAAGGCCAAGTTTGGAAAGACTAAAAAAATGTACTTTTTGTCTTTTTGGACTAAAAAATTGAGGTTGAAAATATAGATGTTTGGGTTAATTTTTTGACTTTTTATTAAAAAATGTGTAATAAAAAATTGTAAAAATTGATTT